TTTGTTATTTTTGCTTCTTGTACAGCTTGATACCAGTCGTTCGGCTCATATACCTGTCTCATACTTTTTTTGTATTTCTCTATGAGAGCGAAATCTCGATCACATGGAAGGTGAGTATGACCAACAACCAAAAATCGATGTTCAACTGATTTAAACCATTCATAAACTACCAGTTGTTGCCACCAGGCAGATAATGGACCAATAAACATCCATATGAATGTATTCCTTTTTCCTCTACACTCCATAAACAATACTATTCGAGCGAAGATATGGGGTGTCCTTTTTACAAATTAGACATTCCAAACAAAAAGGCTACCATTGGGTAAAATGGTAAAATGGTAAAATTATGGCAAGCCTGTAGGCCTGGTGATTTGACAAGGTCAGTGAAATAGATAGTTACATAGATTGATCATCTATATTTTTCAAAATAAACATATGCTTATGCCTTGAAGTAAAAATATGTAATTATTTTTTTACTATATTTAAAAGCTAAATATTGGTTTGTAAACACATTTTTGCAAAATCGATTCTGATTAATGAGCACTTGCGAGGCAATATGACCACCCGTAAACGACCCGTTTTAAGCAATCTATATAACTATATGTATCATTGACCCTGTCAATGACAACAAGCTCACAGGGTTGCCATATCTAAATGTCAGTTTCCACTTGTCAGCAGTTTGACAGGTCGTTAGATTGCCTAATTAGGCATTCCAAACAAATGAATTGCCAGTGGGAAGGTTTGGTATATCTAAGGGTGGCGACATACGGTGTATTCTATCTACTTTACGTAAAATCATGAATAATCGATTACATTTAAATATTTTATGTCAAACACAATAAAAATAATATTTAAAAAACCTACCTATACATTTCTTCATAAATTGGCAGGCTTGGCGACTACTACTTCGAATATAGCGTCCAAGTTGCAAGACTATGTAGCTACCCCCTTAGATATACAAGAATTTCCCACTGGCACATATTGTTTGACAGATCGTTGGAATGGCTAATTGTACGTGATTATGACTGACATAAGTCCCAAATATGTAATTTTTATTTATATTTTATGGACCCAAATACTGGATTTTTTCGTTCTCAACGTTGCCACGATGCGCTTACCGTTATCGCTATTATACTTACCATTCTTTGTTTGAGTTTTCTTTTCATAAGAAAACACAACAAGTCATATGAAAAAGTTGTCAAGTGCTTAGAAAAATTGGAACATTCCAAAAACGTCATGGACACGAAGAGATGTAAATTTAATTGAAGCAAAGTAAAGAAAATTCGAAAGTCAGCAGAAGAAAAAACGAGAAGCTTGAAGGTATTGGAACTTTTAAAATATGTCATTAATTAAAGTCCATATCTATTTTATATTTGACACATTTATTCTGTAGATGATTTTTTTTATCAGTATGTGTAAGTAATTTTCAAGAAAAAAGTGTAAGTTACAAAGAAGAAAAATAAAAAGAATTCATACTTCCTTTATTCAAAGATATGGTTTTTTCTTTTTAATATTTTAATAATGTTTTTATATAATTATAATTGTCAATATCCTGATATTATTGCTTCCTTATCCCTTATTCCTAAAATTTCCTTTCCCAATACTATTGATGACGTGGTGCTATCATCATACAATCATCGTACAATGCCCATGCGTGCGCAACTCTCTAATGCTTTAAGTTGTTTTGATCCCATTTTGAGTGCAACTTTGTCGGATCAAAAAGGTACCTGAAAAAACTGGGCAAATTTCCTGACACGGTATTATACGAGTACCACAATAAGATTATTTGTCCTCTCTCTTCAATTTCTTCTCTCACCTTTAGGTCAAAAACAACAATGTCCAGTTACACGATAGGCCCACCACTAGCAAAAACTTTTAGGTCCATCAAGTTGAGATTATACCTTTATACAGATGGCAATAGTTATGTATTAAACGTTATCAAACTGCGAAATGTTTTTTGAAAATATAAATAATTCTTTTTAAATTACCAATTCTGGCTTTATTTTTAACCAAACAATGTCGTTTAATATATATTTTTAGTAAATACTTTTTAAGAATACGCATATGCCGAGTATATACTTTATTTGCTTTTAGTACATTCTCAGAACATACTAAGTATATATTACGGGACGTTGTTTATACGTGCTATGAACGTACTGAGAATAAACTTCAAGTATGTGTACAGTATGCAATAAGTATTTACTTTAATTTGATAGTACTTAAGTATTTAAATTTAGCATATACTAGGCATATATTAAACACCCTAATACACGATGTTTCATTAATATTGAACATTAAAGAATAAGTGTATATAATGAAAATCGTCAACATTTTTTAAATCTTTATTTCCAAAAATTCATACTTTTTCTTATACAATTTATTACAAATTGTTTCTTTGGCCCTAATCAATCAATATTTTATTGTATCGATGGCTTGAGTTTCATTTGCTAAAAAAAAAACCTAAAAAATAAAAAAAAATATCAAACTTGGGCACATTAGAATTATTTTTTGGGGTGGTCAAACGTCAAAACATAACTGTAAATCGTTATGGAACTTTATTGTAAACTTGTCGTTTGACCATTTTTTCCAAGTGGAAATTCGATGTCCAAATTTTATTCTTTGAATTTTCACACTTGGCCATTAAAATTATTTTAGGGGGTGGTCAAACGGGAAAACATAATTGTAAATCGTTATAGGTCTTTATTGTAAACTTGTCGTTTGACCATTTTTTCCAAGTGGAAATTCGATTTCCAAATATTATTTTTTGAATTTTTACATATTTAATTTATTTTAAGGGGTGGTTAAACGTCAAAACATAATTTTAAATCATTATGGATCTTATTGGCCATGTTTTCTAAGTGGAAATTGGATTTACAAATTTTATTTTACAAATTTTCACAATACTTGGGAGCATTAAAATTATTTTTGGGGGACGGTCAAACATAAAACATAATTGTAAACTATTATAGATCTTTACTGCGTACTCATGTCAATTGACTACCTTTTCCAAATGCAAATTTTATATTCCAATTTTATTTTTCGAATTTTCACACTACTACATTAAAAATATTTGGCAAACGTCAAAACTTAATTATAAACCAGTATTGATCTTTATTGTACACTTATGTCGTTTGACCATTTTTTCGAAGTCAAAATGCCCTTTTCAAATTTTTTAAAGCTTTATGGATCTTTGGGTCCTTATGTCGATTGACCATTTTGTTGAACTAGAAATTAGATGGGGAAATGTTTTCTTTGAATTTTTAATCCTTCTGGAGTCTTTTAAGATAGATTAGGGGTGATCAAACGACGATACATAATTTTAAACGTTTTTGGATGCTATTGTGCCTTTCTGACCATTGATCATTCTTTCAAAGTTGAAATTTATCCCAGAACTCTTGTTGTTCTATAATTTACCCCTTTAAATTATTTTAAGGGGTGTTAAAAAGTCTAAGGGGTGGTCAAAAATTAATCTTCTGGTGCACTCAGTTTTAGAAAATATTAAGTTCGGGGGGCCAGCGGGCACTCGGTTGTTAATATTTTTTGAATATTTAGATTTCTGAGGGTAGTCAAAAAAGTTAGTGGTGGTCAAATATGATCAATAGGTGGTCAAACGTATGCCGCTTCTTAAACTAAAATTTTCAAATTTCGGGGGGCCAGCTTCACAGAGCTAGGTCCTTTAGGTATAAAAGGTCATGCCAATATATTTTATGCCAGTTATTATCCTTTTTTTTTAAGCAAGACGTTACGTATTTTTCTGAGCGTTAAAGAGATAAATATAATGTAACAGTTTCTGAAAAGTCCGGTGTAATTGACAAGTTATTGAACCTAATATCAATATTACATAATAAATATAACCTTTTGGAATTACCAATTTTTACCTGCGTTATAATACATAGTTAAGGTAAATCAAAATATATATTATTCTCAATTATAATTTTATTGTCACCATTATCTTGAAATAGGTATAATGAGGCCGAAACAATTCTAGAAGTCTAATAAAAATTTTGAGACAAAAAAAAGCATATTGCTAATATTTCTTAATGATAAATATAAATAATATTAAAAATATTATTTTGTCCCAAAGATTTTTTTACTATAATTATTATTGTTGGCTTGTTTTAAATTTTTGTGTTCTGTAACTGGGCCTCGGCCTATTGGAAATATTAGACTATTTATTATTTATTTACACATCTATATATACCTGTTCAGATATTTTTTTTTTGTTAAAAATACACTAATAATTATAATACCTACGGTAATAAAAATATAAGTACCTAAATATTTTTTTATTTGTGCATATCTACCTTATCTAGATTTCAAGTAAAGGGTATTTATTTACCTTATACCTATACAAACAACCTGGTAAATTTAGAGTATGTAATTGAGGTAAAACAATAAAACACATTTCTTTCAGTAAAAAATTGATATTCAATCAAATATATCCACTGTAATAGCTTGTTGGTCGAAATAAAAAAAGAAAAAAATACAAAATGCGGTAGAGGTGGGTGGCTCAGTGGTCTGACTTTCGGATCAGAGTCCTGAATTCGAATCTGGTGACGGGATTTTAATTTAATTAATTTAAAAATATAGTCTAATACATCGGCAGGATTCCTTCACTCGATTATTCACTGTTGGGTTCTAATTACCAGTGATGTTCCTAAAGTGGCGATGGGAAACAGTTACAGCGCCTACACCGTAGTTGATGCGATACCGTTAAGCCAATTTAATATAAATAAACATTTTAAATCCGTCTCCGATTTCTACCTTCTACTATTATTTCTATGCCTTCTACCCACACTGAAAGAGAGGTAGAGTCAAGCAAATCCGACCATATTAAAGTTGCCGCCGCGGAGTCTTCCAACTGTTTGTTATGGTAAATTGTGCTTCTAATTTTAATACTTACAATTTTATGGTATTTGGTACACAGGTACGTGTATTTTTGATGTTAGAAAATACTAAAAAATATATTTTTTCTAATAACTAAAGCAGTACTACTTAGGTATTAGATACAATAATTTATTTAACAAAAATAAGTAAATACTCAATACAGCAAATATTTTATTTTTGAGGTAAACGCTTAGTTGGTCTGAATATTATGGCTTCGTATGGGTCCATAGTTATATGTTTCCCATTAATTATCTCTCTAAAATATAAAAATCATAAAATTAGTAGTATACAAAAAGCCATACATATGTATAGATATTGATAAATCCCAAGTAGACATGTATTAGATCAACTTCTGAAAATTGGCAAAAATGTGCCAATAAAAAGAGAATATATTTAAAATCCCAGAGCTGTAGAAACAATTTTAAAGTAAATATTTTCTTTTGTTTTTAAATTGAAATTCTTGTACCTTATAGTCCCACCGTGGTAACGAAATAATCTCTCATCAAACTTACCCACATTTCTTAGGAGAATTTCCACTTCTCAGCATGACTTGAAATGGAGGCTCTTCGGTTATAGGTACAACGACACTCTCATTTCCATAATTCAGAATCATTTCAAAAATATCAGTTTTTCTATGTCCCTCCATTGCATTATTAAATCTAACAATTTCTAGGATGTTTTTATTTTTATCCAGTACTTTTAGTTGAATTTGGGTTTGTTGCTTTAACAGCGTTCTCAATTTTTGAATATCTCTGTATATATTCAAGTGACTCTTTGCATTTTTTTCTTGATCAAAAACGTTGCATTCTAACTTTTTGTAGCTGACAGGTAGCCATGTTCTCGTTACTACGAACAAATGCTGTTATAGGTATGCATGTGAATTTAAACCAATGAGGTTGAATAATATGGAGATGACACGCTAAAAAAAAGCGACATCCCTTCCCCCTCCCTTAGAAGCAATATTATAGTTATCAAGATGCTGTCAAATCTTGTTCAAAATTTAAATATTTCAGCGTTAATTCTGTCATGGTCCATTTTATTTATTATTTTGCATAAAAATCCAAGTGTACTAAACCTAATTATAAAAGATATATCATGAAGAAACGGAAGAAAAGGTCCGATTTAAGTTTTCACAAGTAAGATTAAGGACTGTACTTAGTATTTTTTTATAATTCCTAATTTCTAGCTTAACATTAAAATTTTATTACGATTTCCAAAAGACACCATACCTTAACATTGTATATGACTGTGGTAAAATACCATTTGAGGCCTAGGTAGACCAAATATTATGTTGTGTTCAAGAAAAATGCTGTTCCGACATTAAATTACTGTTTAGTTAGTAGCATAAATTGTAATTACAATAACATTTAAATAACTAGTTATATAAAAGAACTATAATAAAATTTAAATAGCCAATTTTAACTTTATAATAAAACTGAAATACCTACCTTAGTTTAATTTGATAATAAAATTAAATGATAAATATAGAGCTGTACTTATCATAATTACTTACATTTCTGATTGTTCTTTGTTATTTAAAAAATAAACTCATTTGCTAAAAAATTTATAAATAATTATCATTAAAAAACTATCTCATCATATAATTTGAACAATAACATTTGACTATAAGTTAATATTATCTGTACAGTTTTAAGTGCATCTCTTATATATCTGAATAATGTTTAAGTTATTCACACTATGAGGCAAATTATTGTATTGAAAAGTCCATTGTGGAAAAGATCATTGGTGGTAACTGTAGAAACAGTAGTCTTCTCTGCCTCAGGTTAGATAGTTATGTACATCTGTTATATATCTAGTGTTTTTTAATAAATTTTCAGGAATTAATTTGTGTTTTATTTCATTACACGAGTCATTGTATTTAGAAATAACATTAGTTTATTACTCATTAATTCTATTGGTTGTACTATGGTTTCAAAGAACTTGTATAACGATTACATCCTATAATACAAAGCAAGGCATGATTCTGCTTTTTTAAAGAACACTTTTTTCGGTAGTGTTCAACAAATATAGATGAACACAAGTATAAATATAAGATAATCGATTTTTAAATTGTTAATTTTGACTATGTATGTACTCATTATTTTCATTATATTTATCAGTTACATATTCTGCAAGTTCAGAAAATACTAAATGTTCAGAATATAAAGAATAAAACTAACGTATCTGACAACCTGGAGATAGTGAATGTAGAACAATTCATGACTTGTGTGGGCCTGGCCACGTTTATCTAATTTAATTCAGTCGCAAAAGGGCCAACAAATAATGTAGAAGTCACACTTGCACAATAAATTTGATTAATTTCGGATTGGTCATGTTGAAACAAATCTTATTGCAATTTATTTAACCCTAATTTGAGGGTGATTGCAACTAAGAAATTATGGGTCTATTATATTAAACACAAAATGTAGATTCTACAACCATTTTATTCCAACTACGGTACAAAATATAAAAACGTCTCTAGTAGATAAGACACTAAATTTACAGGGTGTGACAACTTGAATATATAAAATCATATGAATTAATAATATTTATATAATTATTCTACACTAAGGTATATAACTCATTTAAAAATTGTAATTCTGCACAGGCAACTAAATAGAATTAAATAAGAACCTGCTTAGACTACCATTTAAGTCACGACCAGTGGGGTCATTTTTAATAACACGTATCTTATACGAAACCATATTGTCTCATGGCATCTCCATTAGTATTGTTACGCTGGTTTTTGGTATCAAAATTTATTTCAACTGAACTTTACAATAACTATAATTCAACTTTGACAATAACTTTACAACTGATAACATTCACGTATAACGTCTATCAAAAAACTAAAACTCTGACGTCAGGTCGTCGACTTATATAGGGACCGTGCGTCATGACTTTAACGCTAACTGGTGATAAAAATGTGAACTTTATGGGGGGTATTTATTAATGTTTTATATGGCATTTATTGTTTAATAATTATTAATAAAATGAAGTCGAATTATTTTCGTAATATCAATATCGAAAAAACTTGTTGCATCCGTGGATGTACAAACACATCACTTTGGAAACCTGGATTTCATTCGATAGTAAAGAAATTTTATAAATTTCCACAGCACAATTATGCCTTACACCCAATGATATACATAATTACAAAGATTGCTTATCCATATGTAAATCAGACGACGAAAAGCGTATTTCACTGGGCAAAGTTTTCTTTTTATCTAGCTTGTATCAATTTTGAACACTTAGTTGTAAAGAAATCATTTACAGAACCGGTTTAGAAATTAGAATCTTTAGTGTTTTCTTGTCATTAAGATTTTTACATATTTAAATGAACATTTTATATAAATATAATTTTACAGATAATTAATGGTTTATTCTGTTGATTAAAACTAATGTAGAATGTTATTAGAGAGTTATTGCAAGTTCACTAAAGGTCAGTCACTATTAGTGCCGCTCTTATTTTGACATCTGAGCATGCGCAGATCACTAACTTTAATAAAGATTGTGCCTGTCCTTAATAGAGAGATATTGCAAATTTCTATAAAGCCAGCCACTAAACTTTAAATTATAGTTCATCTTTTTTGTTGTCTATATTATTAAAGAGGCATTAGAAATTATAATTTTAGAAGGTTTAAAAGACGATTATAGTAAATATTTAATATTAAAAAACTTCTAACGGATACGAATGTCGGCGAGCGCATCCGAAAACTATAAAATCGCCACTACCTGCTGCCCTTAAACATCCACAATTAAGGACAGGCACAATCCTTAATAAAGTCAGTTTTAGAACATAAACATCTACGCATGCTTATATGTCAAAATAAGAGCGGCACTAATAGTGACTGACCTTAAGTGAACTTGCAATAACTTTCTTATTAAGGACAGGCACAATCTTTATTAAAGTTAGTGATCTGCGCATGCTCAGATGTCAAAATAAGAGCGGCACTAATAATGACTGACCTTAAGTGAACTTGCAATAACTCTCCATTATGAAATAAGAATGTCCAATTTGACAAAAATATCACGGCCCTCTTTACAATTTATTAACTATTTCTCATTTATTATTAAAATAAACAAATCATAAATAATACATTGCAAATTACTGTCAAAAGAGATTGCAACAAACTTTAAAATATTAAAAATCCATTGATTTTTTGTAAATTGTTTTAGTGACATTACCATTAAACATTATTCAGAATAATAGATAAGTGTCCAATTACATCTCTTACCAAAGTTGTTTATACCTTATATCAAAATTGTTTACATTTTTTCATAATTATATTACATGTTGCAATTATGTATTTTATGTAGAATTGTATCTGAAATAGTAGTCTAAAATTATTTATATCTATCTGTTATAAAAATTGTTTAGATCTCTTAATATTATTTAACTACATGGAAACTCAACTTTCGAAATACATAATAACATGTCTTGAAGTAAAACTTTAATTATTTTCTTTTTCTAAAGATTAAAATGCTGAAATTTTATTTTAAAACACATTTGGGCTAGAACGGCTTTATTTAGTGAGCACTAGGAAAGGCACATTGCAACCCGCTTTTTATAATTTTTTTATAGATGGGTGAGCAATCTATAATATGTATCATTGAACATCTCATAAACGTCAATGGATGAATGACATTTCGATTAACATAAAGCTAAAAAGATTTATTATTATTATTATCAATCTTTTTTATTAATTTACATTTTTTAAATGTTATTGTAATACGTTTAAATTCAGTGTTACTAAATACCGATATTTTGACATTGGATACACTTGTTTAAGGTACAACTTTACAATTTATTGTCACTTAGCCATTTAAATCTTTTTGCTTAAAATGTATATGCATGTCCAGATTTTAATAATGTTTCACATTTTACGTCATTTTGACCATGTACACGATTGTTTGGTATGGGCCGGTATCTATTTTTAACTATATTTAATATTTTAAAAAATACCCTTTATTATTTACTTGCAATGTTTACCCCATTTAATTCTAAAATTAAACACTAGAGAGGACTAAGTTCGGCAGTAGTGCTGCCTCTATATTTCACGCACGGTCCCTATAGCTTGTTGACCTTCTCGAACCTTCTCGAAATGTCATCTAGAATGTTTTTGACGGGTAATGACATTTCTGGACATTTCTGGAATATTCTGTCTTCTTTTACTTGTACTTTTACTTATGACGACCGCAGCACACTGTAGAGCGATGAGCAACATTCCACTTCTTCTTCTATCTGTACGTTTTCTAAGATAGCCGCAGGCTACTACAGGGTGCTGCGTAACATTGCTTCCTCCTCTCTAGTTATTCGCCCCGAATAACTTGATTACTGGAAACTGGTTGGAGCCAACGGGGAGGATATGAACCACAGTATGGCGCTAACTTCTAATGTGAACTACCTTGGGTTTACTTCTCGTTGACAACTGAATGCGGTAGATCAAGTCGTTGATTTTCTTGAGGACGGTGTAGGGGCCTTCCCAGTTCCGTTGCAGCTTCTGACAAAGTCCATTTCGGCGCTTGGGATTATACAGCCATACTGGATCGCTTCTCTCAAAATGGGTCTCTGTGGCATGTACGTCGATTCTAGCTTTTGCTTTATCGCTATTAACTTTCAAACGTTGACAAGCGAATCCATAGACCTTTGTCCTACCATTGCATACATCACATCTTTTACACCAATCCGCTACATCTCGTCGGCAGTTGACCCAATAAAATCTTTCCCGAACTCGTGCCAGTGTCCTCTTAGTATCAAAGTGTCCTCCTGAACGGCTGCTATGAAGCTTCTCCAATACATTTCTCACCTGTGACCTCGGCAGTATCACTTGGCGGACTACATGTACTCCATCGGGGCTCTCCCACTTCCGGTGCAATAGGCCATCGTGAAGATACAGGGAATCCCACTGGGTCCAGTAGCCTTTTATAGTTCTACTGTATTTGGCTATCTCTTGCTAAGTAGGTGTGACTTTATTTTTTAGCCATTCTCGGACAACCTTTAAGTCATTGTCTTTCTTCTGTCCCTGTCTCAGACTTTCAAGGGTGATTTCTTCTTCGCCGCCCTCTAGCTTGATAGTAGTTGCCCGAAGGGTAACTTTATCAACTGGTTCCTCCCTTTCTCCGAGTCCTTTACTGTACTGGCATTCTCGTTCTAAACAGGGTCGCCTGGAGAGAATGTCTGCATTGCTATACAGATGGACTCTACGATGCTCTACTTCCTGATTATTCCTAGAAAACCGGCTCGGTGTGGGTGATTGGCTACTTCAGGACGCATGGCTGCTGTGACTATTTCTTGCTGGACTTCGTGACGGGCTTCGGAAGATTGATCTTCGCGACTTTCCGACTTCATTCCCTGATTCTCTATTTATAGAACGAGCTCTGCTTCTACAAGTTCTTTGAAGGTGTCCGATTCTTCCGCAATTGAAGCATCTTCTGTTCTTATTTTGGTTATTTCGTTGTATATTTTGCAGGATATTTAATATTTGCGAGAGGGTAGGTTGGGGAATAGCATTAGTATGGGTCCCCTCACTTTCCTGGGATTTAATTTCTCTTATTTTTGCGCATATTAACAATTAAAAATAATCATAGGAGAAGCTGAAACACTATAGTATGGTCCTAACTACAACCTTATCTAACATTATAGAAATTTATCGGTCAAATTGATAATTACATACCATTAGTAAAACCAGCACATTTGCTATTGTCCCATTGCATGGGCGTCCTTTCAAAATCTCTACTAATGTTGGGATACGTGGTGCAGTTGTAAACGTGGTCGTGGCCAAACATACATGGCACAGGGCCGTTTTCCATACCTATTTCTTCGCCGTTATATGTTACTTGAATCCCTGGAAGGAATCCTGTCAACATATTTAATAAATCCACTCTTTCTTTACCAAATTTGGTCGCTACTCGATGAACATCGTGACTGCCGAGCTATAAAAAATAGGCTTTTAGGTTTAGCACTTATTTTACGCCCATTTGCAAATTCGTACCACCCAATTTGAAGTATATTTTGTAGGTAGTTTATTCAACCACTCGTTTATCAGATTCGCTAAGTCCTTGGCATTGGAAGTTGATTTTAATTCTTGCAGCAATATGAAATTAAACGAAAAATGTGCTCCAAGTCTAGAACCGTCAGCTGATCCGTAATAAGGTATCACCATGTCTGTAGGTTGAACAGCTTCTGACATGCAAATTCTAAAAATAAAGCATAAAACATTTTACACAATAAAACTTATCGGAGTAATAAAGTCAGTACATTATGATAAGGATAAATTGAAAGATTTTTGTTATTATGATGAGGTGAAATTAAATTTGACTTCCAAAGAGAGTGACCAGAAGAATTTACAATGAAGAAGGAAAGTCAGACAATTTTATTTTTAATGTAATATAATTTAGCCGGACTTAAAATAATAATAGAGGATGCAACAAACTCGTATTAAATTTAAAACACCCCTTATTCGTTAACTTATAATGAAGATGGTAGAAAGATTGTTAAAAAAAGAGACTGAAGCAGTACAAATAGGAGAAAAAAAGAGAATAATACAAATACCAAAACATGTTAATTGAATTTTAAAATTTTACAACTACAAATTTCATCCACATTTATAATATTAGGTTCTTGGTTTTTAAACCTTATTAAATGCGGTTAACATGCTTCAGTAGTATAATGACTAATCTAATTCTTATATTTTACTTTTCTTGTCCCGATATAGCCGATGTTCGTTCAACGTGAGCCCTCCATTCGTAAACCAATTCATAGCTTTCTGGTTGATTTAAAGTGTAAATATGATTCAAATATTCATAGTCTATTTCAGTGGCAGTGGGATCATTAGATCTGGGTTCGTCTCTAAAATTTTTCTCTTCTATTAAGAAAGGTACTGCATCAATTCGTACACCATCGACATTGAATTGAACGAGCCAATAAGATAGGATATCCTTTAATTAAAAATTGAAAAAAAAACATATATTTAGTTCTGTTCAAAATTACCAACAAAATAAATGAGGCTTGGGTTTCATAAAAGAAATTAACAATAGTACCACTTGTAGACAGTTTTGTTCCTTACTTATGAATATCAATTATCCTCTAAATGAGATCAAAAACGTATTTGAACGTGATACTAAAAGAATACTGGTGATATATAGTAAAACGCTGGTGCTGTACATTTAAGTATGGAAGAGCTTCATGTGGAAATCTTTATATTGGAAGATCCCCAATGATGATGACTACAGATGAAAACAATAAATAAGTTGATAGAATGTTAACTAGAACACATTAGAACACACTGTGAGATATAGCATCATGCGGCTGGCTGGCTGTGTCAATATTATTCATTTTTTACTCGCACTTATGCTAACTTTTTCTTAGTTTTCACATATACTTTAGCAAAGCGTATTGAAAGCAGGCAGCAAACCTTTTTGTTACAGTAACTTTTTATTATAATATCACTCTCATTTGTTTTAACAAGAACTACTACCATTTTAATAATACATTTTTTCTACGCCCATGTCAATAAACGTTAAAAATCGCACTGTCAACATTCCTTGAAAATAACATTCAACAATAAAATGCACGTAATGAGATCTCATAACATACACGTGCGTTTTGATAAGAAAGCTTAAATTTCTTGGTTTAATCAAATTTCAATCAAATTTTTATCTACATACGACTTTATTTGGTATATTTACATAAATTTAATCAATTAAGAAACATAAAAACTTTTAGCATTAGCGAGATACATTTTGGATTAAAAAAGTGATGCCCCTAAATATCGGCAACATATAAAATTTTTCAAAAAAAGTCGCTATGGAAATAAACGTCTTGCCATTTATATTGTCGATTTTTGTAACAAAATATTATTGTATTCGGACATTTTCTCAACTTTACCTACGAATATGTCTGTTAGTAGTGAAAGATATGAAATTGTGAGCACTCCTCCGGAGATTTTAGAAAAAGCTCAAGCTGCCACACATAATTTGTTACCGCTAAAATCCAAAGAAAGGTACGAAATTAACTATCGAAAATTTATGGATTGGCGACACAAGCATATGTCCTTTATCTAATAGAAGGAAATAATTGGGCGTAGAAAAAGTATAGTACGTCACACGAGTTGTAAGCCCATTACGCACTCGTGAAATTTATGCACTCGCCGCTGCACAGCTTCGTGCGTAAACTTTTTCACTTCGTGCGTAATGGGTTACTTACAACTCTTGTTACATGATTTGTATTAACACCTCCTCATAAACTTGTCTATTTGTGTGCCATAAAAGATTTCAAATAGTGCAGCTTAGGGTTTGACGAAAGGCTTCGTAAAAGCGTCTGCTTACATTACTTTGGTTTCCTTATAGTCTATCGCATAACTTGAAAACAAATTTTTTTTGGAGAAAATGCAAAAGGAGGTCGATTTTTATTTCAAAGGGGACATCTTTCAAACATATCCTAATCTATCCTACATCCCTCCCCACCCCTCTGTCACAATTCCCAAAAATTAAAATAGGGAAAGTACTAAGTGTGACACATCATTGAAAAGGTAATTTTATAAGGAATTTGACTGTGTGACATGTGACAGTTCAAATTAGCGTATTGTCATGTGAAAGCCAAATTTAAAAATTTAATGCATAATTACCTTTGGAATAAAATTGAACTTACTACGCCTATGTTTTCGTAAAATAAAAATGAAGGTTTTTATTTTCATAACTACCGGGTCTGTTTTTTAGTTTAGCGTCATTGATACTTCAAGTCTATTAGCGAGTAAAACATAAAAATGGTTTATTCTATTCAGGAGAGAGTAGAAATTGTTGAATGTTATTTAAAAAATAACGAATGTGCTAAAACTGCTTGTAAAATTTTCAATGAGCGACACCCAAACAAACAGGTTAAACGTAAGTACGTTTTGGAACTTATTTCAAAATTTCGACAAACAGGATCTGTTCAAAATAAAAAACGGCAGATTCAAAATCCAGTAAGAAACGAAGCCGTAGAGGTAGCTGTTTTAGGACAAGTTGTTGCAGATCCAACTCAGTACAAGAAAGCTTGCAGAATTATCTGGAGTAAGTGATTGTACCGTCAGGAGAATTTTGAAAGCCAACAAATTCCATCCCTATAAAATTCATTTACTTCAGGAACTTAACGAAGACGATTTTGATCGCCGCTTGCAATTTTGTGAAATCATGAGCGAGCATGCTATACAAGATCCACATTTTCTTTATAACATTTGTTTTTCAGATGAATGCAGTTTTTATGTTGAGACTGTCAATCGACATAATTGTCGATACTGGTCAGATTCCAATTCAAGAGTATTTCATGAAAGGCATACTCAACACCCAGAAAAGTTAAACATTTGGGCTGGAATATTTGGCGATCGTATTGTTGGTCCATTATTTTTACCAGGTACTTTAACTGGGGATATGTATTTGGAATTACTCTAAAACACCGTTGATCCACTGTTAACAGTCATAATAGAAAACGATAACCGATACCTTGAAGATCACCTAATATTTCATTTTGCTACAGCGGTTCGTCAGTACTTAAATGAAAACTTTCCTAGACATTGGATTGGACGAAGAGGATTTATTGAATAGCCCCCACGATCTCCTGATCTGTCCCCCTTAGATTACTTTTTATGGGAATATCTGAAAAGTAAAATATACGCCACTCAGCCAGGTTCCTTAGAAGAGTTACGTGAACGTATTATAATCGAATGTCGTCAAATAACTCCAGAAATGCTCCAAAACGTCAGACAAAGATTTGAGAATAATTTATATTCGTGTATGGAAGTTAATGGATAACACTTTGAGAATTTACTTTAAAGTAATTTAGTTTTTAATTATGGAAGTTGTCCTAAATTTTTCAATTTAATTTTTATGTTCACTTTTCTATTATTTTTTTTATTTTTATTATGAATTGTCTATTAAATGAGTTTTACTTTCAAATGAAGTATCATTATTTAAAATACGGAAACTTTTTCCGCAAGTTGGCGCCAAAATCAAAAGTTATGTAATAAACTGTCACACAGTAAAATTACCTTTTCAATGATGTGTCACACTTAGTACTTTCTTTCCCTATTTCAATTTCATTGGTAATAGTGACAGAGGGGTGGGGAGGGATGTAGGATAGTTGAGGATATGATCGAAAGATGTCCCCTATGAAATAAAAATCGACCTCTTTTTGCATTTTCTCCAAAAAAATGTGTCTTCAAGATATGCGATCTTCTTCGTTTTCGGTGCCTCACCCTGTATTCCTATTTATCAAATGTTTCTTAATGAAATAAATTTGTTATCTTTATGCTTTGTTTTCTTTCTATATCTATGTAACTTAGCCAGTTCGGCTGCGCTTTTGTTTGTCACCAGTAAATCTTCGTAGGGGTAGGGAATTCAACGAATTTTGGATCGGTTTCTTGGAGCAGCTACCTTAACCATGAATCTTCTTGGTACGTAACAGCTAATGCCCCACATATTCTGTCTCGGTTAAAGATGGCGTCACCGTATTTTGCTTACCACTGCACTTAAAAATATATCCACTCATGGAATATCTTTCATTTGCTTCATTTCCCTAATCTGAATCACTGTGTGTTTTAATAAACCATTTTTCATTTGTGTTGAATTCTAGTTTATAGAATATGGTCCCTTTAAGGTACCTGAAACGTCGTTTTAATGCAGTCCAATGAGCTTAGGTATGTTTCTTATTGAATCGACTCAATAGAGAAATAGTTACGATATATTTCACATTGCGTTAAGTCAGTTAGAGATCCAATTGATTGTTGACATGGCACATCTTCAATGTATATGGGATCGAGCTCATTGTGGTCATGATATAACTTTTTATACTGGTATGCGCTCAGACATTTTAAATGTATCCAAAATATTCTTATTTTAATTTGATTGACTGCTCTACAGTTTTCCTTCTTAATTCCAGTCAATATTTAAGACAAGAAAGTTTTCTATTTTACCAAAATCCTTTATTTTAAAATGTTTAAACAATTGAAGAGTTTTTTGTCAGAATAAAAATATCGCTTTGAAATGTTTAAAACGTTACTTGGTCACATACCATCACAAGTCCACGATTTAGTACTTGAAGATCAATGTGTAGGTATCAGTTTACAACATTTTCTCAAAAGGACCTGATATGAAAAAGTAAATCGCAAAATAGACAAATTTTAACCGAATAATAAAATCAAAATCGAATACTTATTTCTGCGCGTCTTTTGAACATGTATCATCAAAATATTTGCTCCATTTATCACTTACTCCTGTACTTACAAGTTCAAATAGCTGGTATATTTACCTTCATGTTCATCTAAAAATATTTGCGTATGTTTGCCTAATGGTAAAAATATTTGGCTCTTTACTCCTAAGCACGACTGTGTAACAATATTTGGGATCTTTACCTATTAAGCTTTCACATGTAAAAATAATATTTGGGCCCTTTACCTTTTTGATCCTAATAATAAATTCAGATACGAGCTCCAATCTGAGATTCGCTAAAACTCGTGCAGAAAATCGATTTTTACTCACATTCCTGTATGTTAGCATCATTAATTATTATGATAAGAAAATACCAACCCGAAGGCAATAGCTCTCAAGAGTGGGTGGTACGGCACAGCGAGCCACGTGCAGGTACCGCTCCGGGGCAGATCCACAGTATCAGCCTTGAGTGCCACTATACGCCTTAGGGATTACTATTTTAAGTAAAATTATAACATCAGAAGTGCGGGATAGGCCCATTAACACAAAAAAAAACTTTAAACGATCATTTCTTCGAAAATGAGTGCCGAAGCGTTAATAAATTTTTTTTCAAAAACTGCAGGAGTCTCTGCATGCGTCGTGACGCGCTAATGACGACGTCGTGCTACCGATATTTGTCTCTGACCGGGCAGATTTCGGTAGATCGTGTTGGTGTTGTGAAATTGTGGAAATAAGTTCTCTTCGAGGAGAGGCCC